TTTTCATCACTTTGAATATTTCTTGCCACTCCCTTCTGGCCTGCAAGGTTTCTGTTGAGAAATCAGCTGACAGTTCTATGGGTTCTCCCTTGTAGGTAACTAACAGCTTTTCTCTTGCTGCTTTTAAGATTCTCTCTTTGTCTTTAGCCTTTGTCATTTTAATTATGTTTCCTGGTGTGGGCCTCTTTGAGTTCCTCTTGCTTAGGACTCTCTGAGCTTCCTGGACTTGTATGATTATTTCTTTCCCCAGATTGGGGAAATTTTCTGTCATTATTTTTTCAAATAGGTTTTCAGTTTCCTGATCCCTCTCTTCTCCTGGCATCCCCATGATACGAAATTGTCCCAGAGGCTCCTTACACTGTCTTCATATTTCTGGATTCTTTTTGCTCTTCTGGTTGGGTGTTTTTTTGTTTCCTCATGTTCCAAATTGCTGATTTGATTCTCAGTGTCCTCTGCTCTACTGTTAATTCCCTGTAAATTATTCTTCATTTCAGTTCGTGTAGCCTTCATTTCTGACTGGTCTTTTTGTATGTCTTTGACATTCTCACTAAGATTCTTGAAATTCTCATTAACTTCCCTGAGCATCTTTATAACCATTATTCTGAACTCTGTATCTGTTAGCTTGCTTGGTTCCATTTCATTTAGTTCCTCTTCTAGAGATTTCTTCTCTTCTTTCCTTTGTGACATGTTTCTTTGCCTCCACATTTTGGCTGCTTCCAGGTGTTTGTTTCTATGTATTAGGTAGAGCTGCTATGTCTCCTGGAATTTGTAGAGTGGCTTTGTGTAGTAGGTGTCCTGTAGGGTCCAGTGGCTCAGCCTCCCCAGTCACCTGAGCTGGGCCTTCTAGGTGCTCCCCTGTGTGGGCTGTGTGCACTGTCCTGTTGTAGTTGAGCCTTGGTTGCTGTTGGCGTCCCTGGGAGGAATTGACCCCCAGGCCANGGAGGAATTGACCCCCAAGCCAATCAGCTGTGAGGACCAGCTGCAGCTACAGCCAAAGGGCTGCTGTGCTGGAAACACCCCTATAGAGCAGCACTTGCTTCAGTAGGGCTTTGGTGCTCACCAGGCGTGCCCCTTGAGTGTGTCCCTGGTGGATATGGCAGGGTTGTAATCTGCTGTGTCCTGAAGCTGCCCACTGGCTATACTGGCCCTGGGGGACCCTGGAAGGTGCAAAGTCAGCCTCTGCCTGTGCCCTGCCTGGGGCCACCTGGCTCGAGCTACAGAGCAGTCTGCAGATGGCTGCTACTTGTGTTGGGCTTAGAGGCGCCCAGGAGAAGCCAAGCTGTGAACCAAGGCGGGCTGCTGCTAGTGCTGGGCCTGAGGC